AAGAGAGAGATGATGAGGTGCGTCAGTGGCACTTTAACAATTAATGTTTACAACGATTAATGATAAAGTGGGGGGGGCCAAAACTTGTTTTGACGCAATGTCCCTTTATGCCCCCCGCTTGATCCGATGAGGATTACGAGGATGCGGATTTATGCCCCTGCCTGATCCGATGAGGATACGAGGATGCGAAATAAAGGGTTAATGCTATCTAGAAGTCTTTTAATCCAAGGATTTAAATTAAACTGATTTTAAGTTTCTGGTTGCGTCAAAGTTGCGTCACGCAGCTAGCAGGCACGTGACGGCACTGTCAGTTGCGTCACGCAGCTCTGATTTGTATGACATCACCGAAAATGACGACATAACGGTTTTTATTCTGTCTGAGCGACACGTGGCTGTGGTCCAGAAAAGAAGCTGCATCATGCATCTACAGATCCGTCACCCAGCCGTAAGCTGCTGTGAACCCCTTTCCCAAAAGCATATAGGCATATAATGCATATGATGAATGAGAAGAAATGCACGTGATGTGTGTGAGTCGCCACCTTGTTTAATTCACTTTTCGGCTATATTTTTCTCCAGAGACTCTTCTGAGTTCATTTGAAAGAAAATTGCCATTAGATATGATTTAGGTTAAAAATAAAAATCATAAAAAGAAAAATCAAGAGAAAAGAATAAGTGTTGGAATACTTGGTGAATGAAAGCTTCCTGGGGAGGCCTTAGCTATCAATTTATTAGGCATTTAAGCCACTTACAATCCCTCAATTTTTGAGGATTAGGTACTCCTTTACCCTCCTTTACCCTTCTTTGTATTTTTATTTACTTTTGTGGTTTTAGTAGTTTAAGCTTCTTTAAACTGTATTCTGTTCATCTTTGGTCATTTTAGGTTTTGTTAAAGCATATTTAGAAAAAAATGATCTAAACAAATCATTTGAAAAATAAGCTTGGGCCAGAGTAGTTGCGTCACGCAACCAACGGATCTGGAAGATGCGTGACGGATATTTTCATATCCAAAAATTTATTTCTATACCCAGTCTTCTATTTTCCAGATTATGGATTTAAAATAAGTTTCTAATGGATCTGAAGTTTTAGGGACAGTTCCGTCATAGAACTATTAGATCTGTCACGGAACTAGAAGATTCGTGACGCAGCTGTTCTAAGATTCCAGAAATAATTTTTTTAAAAAAATAATAAATTTTGCACAAAATGAAGTTTAATTTCTAGAGTTAATTTCTTCAATAAATCTGAAAAAATGACCAATTATGAACAGATTGCAATTTAATTAAGCTTAGAATACTAAAATGTGATTTTACGTATTTTTTTTATGAATTTTATAATTTCAGTTTAAAAGAAAAAGAAAATTAAATTTGTTGATTTATCAATAATTTGCATGTTTTGGATTAAATTAAAAATAAAATGTGATTTTAGATGTTAAATAATAATTATGCATGATTTTGGGTTTTTGATTTTTTAGGCTTATTTTTGAATCGGGTAGAATGTATTTTTGGGTTCAGTTTTTTGCCTGCCTTTAACCATAAGGCAAGAGCGGGTCTTTTATTTATTTGATTTAACTGCTTTGGTTTGAATGATTTAAATGATTATGGATGCAATGATTGGATTTTGGGCGCGATTAAGTAATTTTCCCATATAAGAACTCGGTCCAGATTCATTTGGGTTGAGGTTTTAAAGTAAATAAATAATTTTGGCTTTTCTAACTAAAATAAATTTAGAAAATCATAGAGTTAAAAGAGCCCGTTTTTCCCAGCGTCAGCTTCCAACGGGCCGGCGTACCAATTCCCTTACCCAAAATCGGCATTGGTGCACCTGACACAGTCTTTTTAATAATTTGGCCTTAAATAAAATTGGGTTTAAATGGAGGTCCACTTTTTTAATTAAAATAAAATTAAAAAACGATCCGCATTGCCCCGAGAATAGAAAGAGAGAGACTGAAAAATTCTGCCAGTGAGGGTTCTTGCTAAGAGACCGTGGAGAGTGCATCTCCTCATCCACTCACCGAGAAGCGCCACACATCAGAAAATGACCTACCAAAATGATGCACTTGAGAAGGGAGTATTTCGACGTGTATATCGGTTAAAGTAGGCGTTACAGATAGGACGCTGGACTATCATGCAAGTGGAGAATGAGAGAAGAATGAGTTCTGCACGCGCCCCACTTCGCCCACTTCTCTCACTCTCTAGCTTAATAGACGTACATAGAGCGCTCACTCTAAAATTACAATAAAAAAAAAAAAACAGAGACCCCACTATGAAGGAAGTTTGTAACTATGGTAGAGGCTGTGCTAACAAACTAAATAAGTTACAGCTAATCTAACAAACTAAATAAGTTACAGCTAATCTTTTGCTAGTTTTAAGCAATTAGTTACTTAGTGGGCCAGTCTCTTTCTTTTGCTTTCTTCTTTTGCTTTCTTTTCATTTTGTTTTCGTCTGCTGTGAATTTTTCATTATCATTTATGGTTAATACCCCCTCGCAAGCTGGAGAATGGATATTCACCATTCCCAGCTTGAGCACAAATGAGTGGAAGGATGAGGAAGGAAGGGGTTGGTGAAAATGTCGGCTAGTTGGTTGAGGAGGAGATGGGAAGGAGGTGAATGAAACCTGAATTAACTTTTTCCCTGACAATATGGCAATCAAGCTCAATATGCTTGGTTCTCTCATGGAATGTAGGGTTGGCAGCAATGTGTATAGCTAATTGGTTATCACAGTAAATGATAATAGGTTGAGGGTGTGGGATAGAAAGCTCAGTCAACATGTATTTTAACTGTTGGACTTCACAAGTTACTGCTGCAAGGGCTCTGTACTCAGCCTCAGAGGATGATCTAGAGACAGTTTGTTGTTTCTTAGATTTCCAACTGATTAAGGAATTTCCAAGATAAACACTAAAGCTAGAGATGGATCTTCTAGTATCAACACAGCCTGCCCAATCTGAATCACTGAAGGCTTTGAGAGTGCAGGAAGAAGTAGGGAAGAAAAGGCCTTTTCCTGGGGCTGATTTGATGTACCTCAGTATTCTATGGTGTGCTTGTAAATGAACTGTGGTAGGCTTGGATAAAAATTGACATAAGTGGTTGGCTGAGAATGTGATGTCGGGCCTTGTCGTTGTGAGGTAAAGAAGTTTCGCTACCAATCTTCGATAAACAATTGAATCTGGTAATGGGGATCCAGAATGAGAGTTAAACTTATGGTGGGAATCCATGGGAGTGGAAGTAGGCTTAGCTGTAAGATAGCTCGTGTTTGAGAGAAGCTCTAAAGCGTATTTCCATTGACATAAAGAAATACCTCTTTGTGACCTTACAATTTCAAGACCTAAGAAAAACTTCAAAGGACCTAGATATTTAATCTTGAATAAAGAATCAAGGTTTTGTTTGACCAAATCAATCTTAGAAATCACCTGTCAAGAGTATATCATCAACATATACAAGCAAAATGGTAAAGGAAGCTAACTTATTTTTTGTGAACATAGAATGATCATTTGAGGACTGTGAGTAGCTAGAATAGATAAGGACTTCAGATAACTTTAAAAACCATTGCCTGCTTGCCTGTTTGAGGCCATCAAGGGACTTTTGTAAAAGGCAAACTTGCTTAGGATTAGAGAAAATTAAGCCTAGGTTGGGGTCATATACACTTCCTCTTTGAGATCCCCATGCAAAAAAGAATTATTCGTCTCTAATTAGGTAATATGCAATGAGTGAATGGAGGCTAGAGCCAATAGTAATCTAAGTGTAGTCATTTTTGCAACTGGTGAAAAAGTTTCCAAGTAATCAAGACCCTTTACTTGAGTGTACCGTTTGGCCACAAGCCTAGCCTTGTTCCTCTCTATTGAACCATCAGACCTATGCTTTATTTTGTATACCCACTTGCAGCCAGTAGGAATTTTCCCTACAGGTAAATCAACTAGCTTCCAGGTTTTAGTGCATGTAAGGGCTTGAAGTTCAGCAGCCATAGCATCTTTCCATTGAGCATGATTGTTTGCTTTAGCTAATGTTTTAGGTTCAAGAGAAGTGGAAATGTTAAGAATATAATGAGAATAAGAGGGGGAAAGGTGAGTATAGGAAATGACAGAGGAGAGAGGATACCTTGTACTTGAGTATGCTAATTCTGCTGAAACTAAGTTGCAATAATAATCTTGCAGGTATGGGTGGGTTTTCCTAACTCTAGTGGAGTGACGTGTAGCTAAGGGAAGGGGTTGTGTAACAGGATAGGTAGTAGCTGGGTTTTGGGATTGCAAATTGGGTGACTAGGAATATGTTTGTGGGGTAGCTGAATGTGTATGAAATGGGGAATTGGGAGGTGTGAAGTTCTGCTGTGTATTTGGAAAAGGATATAAGGTGTCAGCAAGGGAATTCAACGAGGGAATTACAAGTGTGGAAGATGGGTGAGAAAAAGGGAAGTGACTTTCATAGAACTTAACATGTCTAGAAAGAAAATTTTCTCTAGTTTTCAAATCTAGGAGAATGTAACCCTTTGTGCCAGGTTTGAAACCTAAAAAATACACATTTCCTAGCCCTGGTGTCAAGCTTAGTTTTGTGATTACTTAGAGTGGATGTAAAGCATAGAGTGCTAAAAACTCTGAGTTCATTAAAATCTGGTAAAGTATTATAGAGTTTTTGTGAAAGGGCTTTTATTTTGAATAAGGGGGCTATACGGGTTAGAATAGATATGTTAATATTATTGTTAGATAGATATATATGATAGATTCACTGTACAGATGGAGGGTCTCTCACAGCGGATGAGACGCTCTGACTGAAAAAAGGGAGCCACCATGTTATTCACTATGTACGGAGAGAGTATTATATATTTTGAGTAGTTTTCACGTCAGGATAAGAGAGGATAGATAGATAGATGTGATCGGTGTGCTCTCATAGGTGTATATAGGGTTGCGAGAAGATAAGATAGGTGCTTACTGAGAGAGAGCAGAATATATAGAGATATATTAAGAGAGAGATCTTAGGGAGCACAGGGTGCTTATTCGGGACCACGCGCGAGGGACTAGAAGGAGGACATTGTTTGTAGAGAAGTAGCTCTCATAGTTAGACGAATATAGTCCGCTCGCTCTCGATTAACTAGTATACAGGTGTCGGGGGAAGGAAGATTTGGTAGGTGTAAGATGAGTTGGGTGTTAGGTATTATATTTAAGAGAGAGGATGAGTGCATTATATGCTGAGGTGTTATGTACTGGTGTAAGAATATGAGGATAGACTCTCACTTAAGAGAGAGAGTTATCCGGGCGCACCGGGAGGGGCAATTGTGAGAGTAAGGAGTGTCATACAAAGCTATCGGAATGAAGAGATAGGGAGAGGGCTATAGTGGTCGGTGACAGGGATATAGATGAGAAGAGGAGAGAGTGTAAATGACGTAGATTGGCTAGAGAGATGAACGACAGAGTACACAATACAACATGTAAGTAATAAGACCGAACGTATACAGTGGATAGTATGAGTTCGCTCAGAGAGTATATATATAGGGACAGATATAGTGGATCTGGAGAGGAAGATTGAGCGGGAGAGAGTATGAAGTCTCTAATGAGGAGAGTAGTATTATATATTATTATGCGAGAGGAGTGCTGGCCTCTCATTATCGAGCTGGAGAGAGGGCGTAGTCGTAGAGAGAGAGCTTAGTGACAGACTCGATAGGTTGGAGAGGAGAAGGTGTAGTGTGAGAGATTGAAGACTTCTATAACTCTCGCACATTTTGATCGTGAGGTCAGACTATCGTGGTGATTGAGCTAATGAGAAGGGGAGAGGGAGAGGAGTGTATAAAAGCGCTTCTCGTAATTTTCCGAGAGTGTATAGAGATGATAATGGGACGCATATGTCGTAGCGCGTAATATATGCTACTAGAGGCATAGGAGAGACCGCAGTAGGCATCGATGTAAGCTTTTGATAGTTTGGTATGGAAATAAGATTGAATGAAAGTGGAAGAGAAGCATAGAGAGGAGAGAGAAGAGACTCATTAAGATATGTGCGGTCGCACGTATCAGAGGAGAATAGTTATCACTAGATATGCGCTCTCGCGCGCATAAATTTTCACTCTATATCTAGATGTGCGATATATAATATCTATATGGGGAGAGAGGGCTGGTCTGAGAGAGATGTATCATAAGAAATCTATGGATAGCAACAAGGGAGAGAGGAAGCAGTGAGAGAGAGTATCTCGTAAAGTTTTGATAAGTTTGGTAATGGAGATAAGATTGAAATGAAATTCTGGCACATACAACACATCAACAAGAAACAAATCATTACTAAAATGCATTGTGCCTGAATAGCAAGCTATTACATAGGTATTGTTGGGTAATTTCACTTTAATTGGTCTGATTTTCTTATATGAGGTAAAAAGCGAAAGAGAAGTGGATATATGGTCTGTGGCACCTGTATCTAAAATCCAAGATCAAAGGTCTATCACAGAAGCAAGGAGAAAATGATTACCTGCAATTTTTTGATTACCTTCTGAAGTAATTTATTCTAGTTATTTGGTTGGAATATCATTTGCAGTGGTCGGAGCTGTTAGACATAGATTGATCTTGAATCAAAGATAGGAGTTTCTGGTGTTGCTCAGGGGTGAAAAGCATAGCTTCATGATAGTTTTGCGTATGAAAAGAGGGCTGCAAACCAAAGTTATTTGATTTTTCAACCTTTTCTACAGAAACAGCATTGGCACTTGCAATAGAAAAATTAGGATTCTTAAACTTAAATCCTGGTGGAAAGCCATGCTTTCTATAACAAGTTTCAATGGCGTGCCTTTCCCTTCCACAATAAGAACAAACTTTTAACACTAGTATTGCTATGAAAAACTCTTCCTCTAAAGGAATTGTATTGTCCTCTGCCTGTTCCTTTGGAAACTCAGATTTTGTGTTCCCAAGGTTGTTATAATTTCTCATTACTCGATTAACAAGAACTTTGGGCTCCACAGACCCTGCGATCTGCCATTCTTGTTGTATTACTAAGGAGAAAACCTTGTTAATTGAAGGCAAGGGTTCAATTAAAATGATCTGAGTTTTGACATTTGAAAAATTCTCATTGAGTCCCTTCAAAAACCTAACTACGTAATCTGCTTGCATATAGCTCTTAAAAGTCAAAATTGCACCACAATTACAGGCTATTTCACATGAACAAATAGGTATTGGCCTAAAATTCAACAGTTCATCCCATAAGATCTTTAACTGTGTAAAATATTTAGTAACTGAAAGATTACCTTGCTTGAAGCTATAGATTTCTTCTTGCAAGTCTCAAATTGGTATAATGTCGCCTTGAGAAAAACGATCTTGCAAATCATTCCAAACATCAGCAGCGATGTCTATCCACAAAACACTCTGAGCAATTGAAGGTGAAAGTAATTTAGTAATCCAAGATAACACCATAGTGTTGCATCTCTCCCAAGTTGAGTGCATTGGGTCTGTTTTTGCTGGGACTATGATTGAACCATCTATAAAAGAGAGTTTGTTTTTGGAAGCCAACGCCATTTTCATTGCCCTGGTCCAAGAATGGTAATTTGATCCATCAAGAAGAGGTGATACAAGAATCAATGCAGGATTCTCGTTTGGGTTAAGGAAGAAAGGATTGGAAGGATTTTGAAGGTGATCCGCATTGCAAATTAAAGGAAAATTTCTGTAACTATTCAAGTATAAGTTAATAAGAAGAAGCAAATGAAGAAGCTTCTAGAGAAACGAACGCAGGAAAAGCAATTACTCTAATGCCATGAAATAAGATTTGATTGAAGGAAAATGAAATCTTACATTTATTAATCTGTGAGTTTTGATTATATACAAGATTAAGAAGATAACAGAAAAGCAATAACAAAGGAGGAAGTTGTAACTACCTGTAGAGTTGTGCTAACAAACTAAATAAGTTACAGCTAATCTAACAAACTAAATAAGTTACAGCTAATCTTTAAGTTACAGCTAATCTTATTGCTAGTTTAAGTAAATTAAGTTACTTAGTGGGCCGGTCTCTTTCTTTTTTGCTTTCTTTTTCATTTTGTTTTCGTTTTGCTGTAAATTTTTCAACTGTCGTTTATGGAAAGGAGGAAGTTGTAACTACCTGTAGAGTTGTGCTAACAAACTAAATAAGTTACAGCTAATCTAACAAACTAAATAAGTTACAGCTAATCTATTGCTAGTTAAGTAATTAGTTACTTAGTGGGCCGGTCTCTTTCTTTTGCTTTCTTTTCATTTTGTTTTCGTTTGCTGTAAATTTTTCACTGTCGTTTATGGTTAATATAGTAAAACATTTACCGACCAATTTGAAACCCATTGGTAATTACTGACAGATATTTTGTTAGATTTGTATTGGTAAATTGTTGTATTATTGGCAAAATGTTGTCGCTATTTTGACAATAAAGTTTTCCATTGCTATGTCATCGATAATCGGTCGGTATTCTATTGAAGTAAAAAAAATTATGACCAAGGTCCGTTAGTAATCCATTGGTAAATTTTGAGATCTGAAATATATTATGGCGTTGAAACTTTGATAACTCAGCTTAATTGATTAAAAGTAAAAACAAACTAAAAAAATAAATTGGCTAAAATGTTTTCTCGTCTAAAACTATGAAATACTTTGCACATGACAAACTCATAAATTAGCAAATTTTCACATGGTAAATAAAATGACTCAAAATCAACCAGCCAGAGAGTAGAAAAATAGTAAATTTTCTATAACGTTAAAACATTCATAAATTCCATAATTTTCAACTAATTTCCACCTCCACTAGTCAAACAATTTGCTTTACGGAATAAAACATCAAATGTAAAATATTTAAACAAAAGCAAATTCCTGAATCCCACAAAACAGAGAAAAAAAAAAAAGACCAGTGAAGAACAAAGTAGCGAGATCTTCCCATAAGTGAAGCAATCCTCTGGTTTTTAAATTAATCAAGTTCCAATATTTGGATTCTACATCTAGTGGTGGCTGAAGGTGGTGATAAGGGAGAAAGGTGGTGGAGATGACTGAGGATGGCGCGAGTTTGTGGAGAGAGAAAGCGAAAAAGGGAGAGTTAGATAGATTTAGTACCCTCCATTGGTACTATTTAAATCTCCATCGATAAATAACAACCACAAATAATTGCCACCTTGCACTTCAAATCCGTCGGTAATATACCAAATTTTATCAGTAAATTAGTAACCCCTAATTTCTCTCACCATCTTAAATTCGTTGGTGTATTAACCAACGAAAAAAGTGGTTGGTAACATTTATGCAGCACAATCTTTTTGTTCTGCCACAGTCTGTCAATGAATCAGTCGATACTTTCACGGTAAAACTTCCACCTAAAGCTAGCGCCAAGTTTACCGACCGAATTTCTTTTGTCGGTAATTTTAGTCAGCATTTCATTAGTATTCTGTCGCTTCATATTTCTATAATTTTTTAAATTTTTTTGTCATTCATCAGTGTTAAGTCGTTATATACCAAGGTAGTTGTTCCGCCGGCAAATGCCTATTATTTTGTAGTGATATTTCTTAAAAAAAAAAAAAAATCAAACATTTGGATAGTTATTAAATTTTTTATATTATTATTATTGTTATTATTATTAAATATGATATTATATTATAAAATATGATATAATATTTAAAGACTATATATAATATAACTATATATATATATATATATATATATATATCTAAAATATTTTGAAAAAATAATTAATCTAAATATTTTGAAAAAATAATATTAGAAATAAAAAATACATTGTAAAGATATTTAGAAATTTTAAGTCTTACTTAAATAAATTTATTTTTTCAAATAAGTACAAAAAATTATCTATAAATATTTAACTTAAAAATTATATATGTCAAATTACAAATCTTATTGTGCAATTGATATTCAGAAACTTGATCAATTTAAAGCAATAGCATTAATAATTATTTCTACAAATTACAATTATCATATATAAAATCAAAATCGATGAAATCAAAATTTAAAATATAAACTGACAACATTAGAAATACTTTTTTAAAAATTTCAGTTTCTAGCAAAACTTTCTCTCAAATTACTTTAACTAAATACAATATGCATACAAAAGTTTCTTATAAATCATGTTTTCCTTTTTATCTAACACTAAATCTTTTAATTTTAATAGCTATTTTTTTTTTTATGTCCTTATCTTCTTTCTTTTGTATACATTCTAAAACAAATATGATTATTTAGTAAATACATTTATAGTTTTCAAATTACATATACATGCAAAGTCATAGTCACGGTCACATTTATCTATATTACTTTGAAATATGTATACATTCTATTTATGTATTATTATTATTAGTAACAAAACCCAATTTGATCTCCGAACTTATTTAACAAGATGAAAAAAGATTAGATTTGACTTTTTGGGCCAATTTAGCCCTTGAATTTGTATAAAATGATTAAAAGGAATCAATTTCACTTTTTAGGCGAATTCAACACCTAAATTTATTTTAAATGATTAAAAAAATCATATTTGTCATTTTGAGTCAATTTAACCTCTAATTTTTATTGTACTTACAATGTAAAAATCAATGTATAGACATTTATTAAAAATGTAGCTAGGATCGAGTTGACTAATTTATTAAAAAACTAATTAATTATAAAATATAGAAAAATGATATATGAAATATATTATATCTCATAGTTTTGAGTTTATAAATATGTATTAATATATTCATAGGGTTTTGAGTTTATAAATATGTGTAGAGAGGAATTAGTGGTGAGAGAAAGAGAACCGTATCTGATTTATATGATCATGAGTTAACCTTGGGATGGCGGAAGCGGTTTATTGCTTATGAAAATTATTTCTCAAATTGTTGTAGGGAGATATATTATATTAATAGTTTAATTTGAATATTTTAAAATTAACCTCTACTGCTGGGTTATTGCTTATGAAATTATTTTCATGTTAGAATAAATTAAAGTTATAATGCATGTTTATAATTTTATTATATTATAAGGAATGCTGTTTTTATGGATTTTAAATTTATATTCATAAGTGTTAGAAAAGTTTGATCTGAGTGTTATGGTGTAGGACAAAAAGAGATGAAAAGTCAATCATGTTAATTAAATTAATTATTAATTTATAAAAATCAAAACAAATTCAAGGGTTAAATTGACCGAAAAAATGAAATAAGATCTTTTTAATCATTTTAGATGAATTAGTCTAAAATGTTAAATCTAGCCTTTTTAATCCTGCTAAACAAGTTCATGGATCAAATTGAGCTTTATTTCATTATTATTATTATGTTGTAATTTCCATGGTTTAGAAAATTGGACCGAACCGGCCAGTTTGATCGAAAATCGGACTATAATCTAGTCCGAGTTAGGTACATAAAACGGGAGGTAAAAAAATCACTCAGAATCTGTGTGAATCGGGTAAAAATCGGCGCACTGGTTTGAATAATTATTACGGTTCAAATCAAACCAGCAAATGGAAAAAAAAAAAAATGGAAAGAGAAGATTACAGCGTGTGGGTTGGTCCGGAAGCGGATCAGCGAGATGCTTCGCCAGGTGCCGACAGTGAGACCCAATTCCCGGTGGTCGGACTTCAATTTATGATTGAAAATTTCTCTCTCCTGCTATTTATCAACAGTCAGAGAGAAAGTCTCCTGGGTATTATCAACCATTCAGCACAAGTTCTTTTCTGTGAAACAAAACTAACGCCTTTAACACTGCATCCCTTATTCAATGCTTGAACTTTTTATTAGCCACGTGCTTTCACTACGTTGTTTTTTTTTTTTTCTTTTTTTCTTTTTTTAGATGAACTATGTTGTTTTATTTTTGTATATGTTAGTTTTTTTTAATTAGCAATAGTTATTGTAGAGTTATAATAATATTATTGGTATAATAATAATAATAATAATTGTTATTATTATTATTATTATTATAGAGTAAGATGTCTTGTAGGCACGCGAAAAAAGCAGAAGAGAGGAGGGTGTCTATATACGCTGAATAGAAACCTAAAGGTATTTGAAGTGTCAATATGTTTATTTGAGTTGTAAAAAATAGTAGTAATATGGAGTCTCTCTCTCTAAGTATGTTTTACTCACGATAATGGATAACGGAACAGCAACCGATGATATGAATATATAGACTCTTGCGCTTGAGTTGTTATAGCTGAGATTAAAAAGTTGTTATAGATTTAGGCGTAATAATAATAATAATAATTGTTATTATTATTATTATTATTATTATTATTGTAAAATAGTAGTAATTATTTTATTTTATTGTTATAGTAATCCAAACTAAACCAAAATTTTATTTTGTGTATTGTTATAATTAGTTAAAAGTTGTATTAGATTAGGCGTTATATTTAATATTATTCGGCTTATATAAGTTAAAGGATATATCATATATACTTTTTTTTTATTCTTGTTGTAAAATATTTCGTACTTACAAATTCTATATTTTTAATTTTTTTTAAAAATATATTTCAATATTAGATATAAATATTCTGTTAAACTGTATTGAATCCGATTAAACCTTTTGATACATTGAACCTTTA